AAATTTTGTTGGGGTAGGTATTAATGGCTGAGCTATGCCTTGTCCAGATTTTCCCAATCCTGAATTTGGTAAATGTCCTTGATTAAGCATCTGATTGGTAACTACATTGCTAGAACTGTAAAGATACACTCCCATGTTACTCATCACATCTCTACCCCACAGATTAACAGGAAAGCCAGGAACAATATATGGTTTAAAGGTTCCTCATGTCCTTCCTCATCCTTTCAAGTTAATTCATCACTACTTTGTTCAGGGCATTGGCTTTGTCCTATCCCTTGTAAATGTGTAATAGAGGATTGTATAGGCCAATGCCTAGGCCACTGATCAGCAGTTAAGAGAGAGACATCAGCTACTGCAGTATGTTCAAGGGTCCTTGTTGCCAAATGTGACTGTCCAGAAGGCTAGAGCCTGTCAGATAATCAGTTCACTGCTACATGAAGTAATCCCATCACACCACCAAGAAAATCCTAAAGGCAAACCTCCAAAAGATGAAACTGTTGGCAGCCAACCGTACAGTGCTCTAGAACAAAGCTGCAGTAGTATACAAAAGAGAAAGCTTTCCAGTCCTCATGTAAAGCTCACAAATACTAATCATTCCTGTAAGACAAGCAAAGTTCCAAGCCAATGTATAGGGCTCTTGAAAAAAAAAACAAAAAACACTCAGTTCAAATTAAGTCTCCTTTTATTTTCTGCACAAGCAAATACTGAAGCAGTCCCCTTTCCAGCAATAGGGCAAGAATAGGGAGGGAAGCCCCCTAGGGCCAGCCATCAAGCTCCCCAGAGAAGTAAAAGCAAGTGATCTGTGTCACAGCTTCATTTCACAAAGTTAAAATTTGAATTAGGTTATACAAGTGTTTCAGGTCTATCGGTGATGTCATGAGAGACATATTTTCCCAATCAGTGATAAAATAATTTTTCTGAGTCAAGTTTTCTGTGAATCCACAGTTTACTGGAGACATCACTGACAAAGTCATGGAAGCACAGAAAATGTAAATGTTAATGTATTTAAGCACTTATTTTCATTTAAGAAGTGAGAATGAATCAGCACTGGTAACTTACAAAAAGAGTCCTAAGCATCATTTTCGGTATAGTCGATATTTTTCCACTGCATTAAAAACATCTCTCACACACACTAAAGGCCAAATTTCTAGGTTTATCATTATCACACATGAGTGCAAGATAGCCACTGCCACAAGTGACTGTTCACTTCCAATTGCTGTTGGCTTGTCATCATCTTTCTGGCCAAGAATCACTTCCAAAATACGTGGTGAAAACTTCCACATTTTCTCTTTAAAGGCAAGTATGAGCAAGCTACCCTTAAACGTATATAAAAATGTTATTTGGAAGGCCACTATTTGTACACTAAGAATGTTAATAACAAAAGAGACTCTGCCTAAACTGCCATGTCTGCTTTCATAAGTCATTTAGATGAACTGATTCCCATCACTCTGTTCTCCTCTCTCCCCAAATAACTGACATTATGCTCTCTAATTAGTTTCAGACATCCTAAAACTTTTGTTGTAAGGTGAGAGGTTTGGAGCATAAACTGGGCATGGAATTGTAGGTTTGGGATGTTGAAACCTGTGGGGTTAAAAAGCTCATTTGGGAATGAGGGTTTTGCACAGGAAGTATGGGGCTTTACCTTAGACTCAGACACCAGTGGACTCTCTTACCCTAGATTCTTATCTTCCAGGACTGAGATGATTTGCTGGCTAGTGTTTTCAACCTGACAGAAACTAGAGTCTTTTGAGAACAGGAACCCTCAATTGAGAAAAATGCCCCTACTAGATTGGCCTATAGGCAAGCCTGTTTGGTATTATTATTATTATTATTATTATTATTATTATTATTATTATTATTAT